ACTTGGTTTTGACACAAATACGTTAGAAAAGGATTACGAAGCATTACAAAAAGGAAGAACAAAAGAGATTATTGCATCATATCAGCCTGAAACCGGACCAAATGCACATTTGATGTTTATTTACACTGACCTCATAGATGATCATTTTGTTGGTGATGTCTCAGCAAGGGTGTTGAGAGTTGTACCATTGGATAAACAAAGTAAAAATACTCTTGCTCATGTAACTTTCAATAATCCTTATTACTATCCTGTTAGATCCAATAACATTGAAGACATTAGTATTTTACTTTGTGATGAAACAGGTCAACAAATCCGTTTTAAATCTGGACGTGTTTTCCTAAGTTTACATTTTAAACGTAAAACAGTTGTATAAGATTTTATGAAACCTAATAAAAGAAAAATTTTTTTTGTCAAAATGAATCGTAAAGTTTATTGTTCATGTGACAGTGATTTCACAAGTCATTTCCAACGCCAAGCTGGTGCAGGGTTTTCAGACTTGACTCTTTTTCAAGGTCATCCTTATCAGAGAGGATATGGAATAGGCTCTCTTTTAAAGAGGTTTGGAGTCCCAATATTGAAATTTCTAGGAAAACAGGCATTAAAAACCGGTGTTAACATCGGTAATGAATATTTATCCGGCACTAATTTGAGACAATCTATTAAAAAACAAGGCAAAGCAGGCATAAGGTCTGCTTTGGAAGCTGGCATAGGTCAATTGGATAATATATTGAATCAAAGTGGTAGTGGTATAAGAAAACGTAAACGCAAAACCAAATCAAAAAGGAAGAAGCCTAGTGCTACTAAACGACGTAAAAAAGATATATTTTCATAATGGAGTATCTTCATTCATCATCGCTACCAGTAAGCAAATCTGAAATTCAAATTTTTGCTATTCCTCCAACACAAACTGCTATTGAATCTACTTATGAAGTAGAGTATAGACCGGGTGCAAGTTTAGAGCAAGCAACTAGCTATGAGATCGATATTCCTGCAAGTGAAGATTTCACTGATTTAGCATCAACATACGTTCATTTATTGGTTAATATTACTAATGGAGATGGAACAGCTCTAGCAGCAGATAAAAAAGTTTCAACAATTGAAAATTTTGGAAATGCACTCTTCAATCAAATTGACATGATTCTTGGATCAATCAATACTATCAAAGCAAATAACACTTATCCTTATCTATCATATATCGAAGATAGACTGTTTAAACATCGAAATAATTCTGATATTGGATCAGAAGGTTACACGGATCAGGATCCTAGAACCTTGTGATATGTACTTTAGACTTCATCTGCCTATGTGTACTCAAGATAAACTATTGATTAATGGAGTGCCCCTGAGATTCAAGTTCAGTAAATCGTTGGAAGATTTTGTACTTATGAAAAGAACTGATGATGGACCCTTTAAAGTGAAATTTGATAAATTTTCAATATTCATCAAGCGAGTAAAGCTTTTTCCGGAAGCACAAAAAAGTATTATTATGGGCCTTGAAAAAGGTCCTGCTAAATATTTCATCACTCGAAATGAGGTTAAAACATATTCAATTTCTGCTGATCAAACTTCTGTTGCTATTGAAAACGTTTATTCTGGATCATTACCTAAAAGAGTACTTGTTGGTTTGGTTAATGATAAAGCATTTACCGGTTCCTTAGCATCAAACCCGTATGAATTTAAAAATTTCGGAGTGAATTACATTGCATTATCTATGGATGGAATTATGATACCAAGTATACCCTATCAACCTAATTTCTCTCAAGGACAATGCATGCGTGAATTTATGTGTTTATACCGATATTTTAATCAAGATGAAGGTCTACCTCAAATTGATATAAGTTATGCGGATTTCAAAAAAGACAAAACATTCTTTGCTTTTGATCTAACCCCTGATGGTACAATCGGAGCTGAAACTGGAACCTTATCACTTGTAAAGAGAGGACATATAAGATTGGATTTGAAATTTGCTCAGAAACTATCCTCATCAATCAAGGTTATCGTTTTTGCTCAATTTGATAATCTGATTACAATAGACAGTGATAGAAAAGTTTTCATTGATTATTAAGATCATGTTATCAACTTATGAGATCCTAAATATTTTGAAAGATGTTTCTTGGTTCAAAGGAGTTTTCCCTATTGATATGTTACCTGTAACAATGGAGAGAAATACCGCTATTATAATAAACTTAGACGTAAGTTACGAACGCGGCAGTCATTGGGTTGCACTATATTTGGATGTTAATCGTTTCGCTCATTACTTTGATTCATTTGGACGAGAGCCAATGGGACTGATACTCAATTTTATTGAGCGAGTAAGCTATGGATATGCTTATAATCCGGTTAAAATTCAAGATAATTTATCTGTTGCATGTGGTTACTTTTGTCTCTTGTTTGTTGTTTCAGTTAAAAGATTGAAAGATTTTTATATTTTATTCAATAAATGTGCACATATTGAGAATGAGAAAACTCTGTTCAAGCAAATGAAAAAATATTTATTAAAATGAAAATTAAATGAAAATTAAATGATTATTACATGTCTTCATTTATTTTATAATGCCCAAAAGCAAAACTGGTGATTTTATCATCAAGCAAATATCTTTTATCATCAAAAGGAGAAAGAGAAACTTTTGTTTGGCTGATGAGAGATATATTATGCTCGTGTGAAGCTAAACGTTTAACATTTTTTCTCTGGATCCTTTCATTGTAGATGCAATCGATGTAATCCTTGAAACTTATTTCACGCTCCAAAACACATCTTTGAACTCCTTTAGCTCTCTTTGATTCACCTTTAGCACTTTTGAATGCATACAGCTTTGCTTTTATTCCTACAAATTCATAGATAGGTTCACCGGCCATCTCATCTTTCAGAAATCCAATTTTCTTTTCATTGACATTTGAATAAAGTTGATGTTGTTGAGGGTAATTTGAAAAATCCATTACACTATTTACTTTTTTTAGATCTTGGTTGAGATTATCCGTTTGAAGATGATATATCAATGAGTCCGTATCAGTATAAAGGAGCTCGATTTTTTCTCCAAAACTTTCTTTGAAGGCATCATAATGTAGTTCATACATTTTCAGCTTTGCAAGCTCAAGGATTGTAAAACCAACAGATATCGGCTTATCCATGCGGACCATAAATCTTGCAACTTGAATCAATGCTAAATCTTCATTCAAAATGATAAAATCTTTCACAAAGCTCTTTACGTAATTGGAAATTAGCTTGTGGTTCATTTTTCAGCAACCATCACCTGCAAATGATTCGGGTATTCTCAATAGTTTTACCGTACAATGCATTTACATTCAACTTCCAAAAATAACTTGAGCAGGATTTTTTGCCATTTTCCTTGCTGTGTACAGAAATCAACGTACGGAGCTAACCATGGTAATTGACGAAACTTGATAGCTCGGTGTATTTTAGTTATTTTCAATCCTTTTGCGACATAAAATTTCAATGATTTATAATGAATAACATAGTTCTCTTTTTTAATGAATGAAGTTATAAGTTTTGCTTGAGAAATGTATTTCAATTGTTGGTTTTCAATTTTCTCAATCAGGTCACACTGATAGGGACTCAACATATCTTTACCAATTTTCATCTTTTCAGGAGCCAATGGATAATCATTATGAAGTTCATGTAAATGAGGTGGATATTCCAAATCAACTTCTAAGAAATATCCTTCATTTGCTGAATCATCAGTATGCAAAACTTTTTCAATAAAATCAGCATCATTCACATCGCACCAGGTAAACCGATCATAAGGTAGTTTTTGCATCATAGCATAACCATACAGGTTATTTACATCAAGATAAATAATGTGTGACTGTGGTTTTGAAGGGTCAAAGTTAGGACATGATGGATTGTTGGCAATCGCGTGTCTCTTGCATACCATTGTTGGTCCACCTCTGATTCCATGTTCAACCATTAATAACATGTCAATGTCATGAAGGAGCTGAAGCTTTGCATTTGTTGTTTTCAATGAAGCAGCCCATGTTAGACCAGGAGCAGAATAATAATGAGGCGGATCAATGTTAAAGAAATTTAAACTGTTTGATCTGAAATCTTCAAAAACAGCAGCCAACAGGTATACATCAACACGTAGATAAATATCATGGAAATCTCCAAGATTTTTGCATTTGAATTGATTCCAAATTGCTTTGACTCTTTCATATGTTGCGATGTCAATTGATGAATTTGTTAGAGATGAATCAAATGCTTTAATAGGTGGTAGTTGTGTCTCTTCAAAGCGTTGATGAGAGTCCAAGTACTCATAAGGCATTGCACCTTTCTTCATTAACAAAGTAATATCTTGATTGATAAATTCTTGCTCTAAAAGCTCTTTTTTCACTTCATCCGAAAGAATTGAAGATAAGTTATCAAGGCTTGATGGTAGAAAGGCTAAGCTATCAATAAAATTGAAGCAATCAATCTTGAAACCAATATATCTCTCGAGAGTTTGTGCAATAATTTGTGGTTTGTTCTTGAACATATTTTTCTTTATCGCTTGAACAATAATATGTCCATCAAAGTTTTTCAAGTTGTGAAAAACTACTGGAATCGTTTGAGGCACTTGATAATCCAGATTACACTCCTGGTGAGCCGCGCCTCTGAATTCACCAGTTAGATGATCATGATCACGAACCGGAGGCCCGTCATTTTGTCTATTTAAACGTTCATTACAGATGTGACAAGTTTTCGATTGAATGAATTGTAACTCTTCATCATCAGTGAGATTGAGTGGTTTTTGATGTTGATCCAAATACGCTTTTGAATAACCTTTCAGGGCTATGATTTCTTTTAGAAAAAGATAACCAACATCTTCACCTCTGTAAAATCTTTTTGCTATAACTTTTTTATTCCAATCAACAGCTATCAATCCAAAACTACAAGGCTCGTTCTGTTTAAGTTCACCAATATCCAAATTACCTGGTTTTGATAGCGTTTCAAAGTCAGCATAGATAATGAATGGATGTTTCGGTTCTTTTCTGTAATTCTTCCTTTTAACCACTGAAAATGGACCATATTGAGGTGGCATTGATATCCGCTGAGGCTTGTGCTTTTTACAGTATAAAAGATGTGTTGTAAGTTTATCTTTTTCTCGGAAATTATACAGACATCTGTGACAGCAGTAGGTTGCATGTTGTCTTCCTCTCATGAATGCATGGAAATTCACAATGATATGATAATGATCATCAAAAAGAAATAAATTTACATGTGAAGGTTGCTCGTTCTTCGTGATGTAAATTGGAATGATCAACTTCTCATCGACTTCATAGGTGTAAACATTGATACTGATTAGATTTTTACGTTCAAATGCAGGTATCTTTTCTAATGGAACTGATCCTCTCACCATACTGAAATCATAATCGTTCATAAACCGATTATATCTGGAAGGGCGTTTCGGATGATCAATATCTTTGTGTAAGCCACCCAATACACTGTAAATGAAACATTCATTGTTGCATTCAATTGTGCGTAATGATTTCGTCTTTTTGGCCAATTCAGGAGGCAGGGGATTGTTGAAACAAGAACCAGTGTGTGGTCTATATTTAGCTATTCTCAATTCAACACAAGCAATCGATTCAATAGTCCATCCGCTTCCTCGCTCAGTAAATTGATCAACCAATGGCTCCAGTGATAAGATTGCACTGGCGATAAGATCATCCAGGTTATCTGCCTGCAGAATGGGTTGGAATTTAGTCCAAAAATATGATTTTGCTCTTTGATCAGGTTTATTGAAGATGATAAGTAAACATAGTTGAACTTGATTAAAATTTAGATCGTGATTGATTTGAAAGCATATCTTTCAAATCAGCTTGCAAGAATTGTTGCAGCATTAATAAACTTTTAACATTTTCAAGAGTACAATGAAAAACACTCAATGTCTCACACAGTCCTGAAGCTATAAGTTGGAATCCGGATTTAACTGGTGGTCTGCATTCTCTGCGGTGATTCATCTTATCGAATTTAGATTTGAAGACATAATCACACATTGGACACTTGTATTGTTCATAGTCAATAGATGGACTTCTTGATCTCTTACGATTAACAGCTAAATCACGTGTTTCACTCTCATCAACGACAGCAACAGATGCATTTTCCTGATTTTGTGTTGCACTTGTTGAAAGATCAAGTGGTTCCATCTCTTCTTGGGCTAGCAAAACGTTAACAGCTGGAACATCTGGTTGTTGATGTTGTTGTTGTTGATAATTTGCTTTACACGATAGATCAAGAGGCTCCATCTGAATGTCATTAGACTCAATAGAATGATCTTGATTAGGTGTTGATTGAGGAATATTTGAGTGAGAAGATGATGATAAAGACGATTCATTACACAAACTGCAATCTGCAGATGTGCATGATGAATTACAAGATAATGTTCTTTCTGGTGACGCGGGCTGTATGTTTTCCTCTAAGTTGAAACTTTCTAATTGTCTACACGGATTGAAGAGACAGTCACATGGGTGAACAACAAAATTCACAAGCGCAGGATAGGACCTCAAGCAGCAAACACAGGTTAATGACTGAAATAAAAAGATAAAAAGAAATAATGTTTAAATAGATTTATTTTATTTTGATTCTTTATTTTGATAATAACAATCTTTTGATCTTTGTAAATTCATTTTAAGATCATGCGTGGCTCTATTAAAGACATTTTCATAATGTTTAGCTTTATTTACATATTCGTCATATTTATCTGGGTTTACAGCTCCTTGATGCAAAAAATGATCAACCTTAGCCTTAGCTTTATTACTTCTCCTCTGACTAACTATGACCTTTTTCTCAAGATATTTCATCTTATATTCACTTGACTCATCTCTTTCTCTCATTTTCTCTAATCTCTTTCTTTTCGCTATTTTGGCCCTTTTGATTTTAGTCAATTTGTAACTGATGATGCTGAGGGTTGATCTAAGGATTGATTGCATGAAGGAGAGTTCACATTATCATTTGAGATACACAATAAATCCTTGGTTGTCTCCTGGACACTCACCATTTTTAGATTTTGAAGATGAATTGATAGAGTTTATGAGAAAATAATGATGTTGATCAAAATTAGATTATAAGTTGATGAATGATAACAAATGTAAGAAGAAACAGATAAAAGATAATTAAACAGATTAAAAGATTAAACGATGATATTGATGATATTGATGATTAAAATATGATAAAATTACTTTGAAGAGGTGAACAGATTATAAAGATGATAATATTGATATTGAAGATTACCTAATCGCTTATCTAATTGAAAAGAAAATCTAGTCAACTGACTCGCTTTGAAAAAAGATGATGCAATTCTCATTTCACAGTACTTATAAATGAATGTGTTCAAAATAAAAACAGTCCGTGAACTAGATCGATCATAACTTCTTGCAAAATCATATTTGTGACATAATTTTTATCTCAGTAAACTCAGCTTAGTTTTTGGAAAAAAATTTCCTGTTTATTTTATAGTTAATTGGAGCATGTTACATTTTATTGCAAAAATAATAGCATATGATTCCTATTCGAATGGGGCACTAACCAATACATTAACTCATGAGTCATTGTGTCATCCATGTGTCATGTGATTAGGAATTATTGGGGGTTAATTTTGATAGTAATCTCCATGGCCACAAGTAGGAATCGAACCCGAATCATTAGAGTCATTATATTGGTCAGTGCTCCATCCGAATAGAACACATATGCTATTATATCTTATTTTGTATAAAAATGACTTTTAAACGCAATAACATATGAATTGACCCAAAGTGTCATGCACTAGAGCAATAATTCTGCAAAAAACGGCGCGTTCCGAAATTTTGCTCTTGACCTTGACCTTTGACCTTTGACCTTTGACCTTTGACCTTTGACCTTTGACCTTTGACCTTTGACCTTTGACCTTTGACCTTTGACCTTTGACCTTTGACCTTTGACCTTTGACCTTTGACCTGGCCCGGTCATGACTTGACATCAACTGCAAACTGTTGCAATGTATACTTGTAATGCTTAACCTTTATGATGAATTGTTATTGTGACGTAGAAAGTTTACTTGCAATTAACATGTATTAATCACAGACAATTGACATTTTTTAATCAATGGAAATCGTCTGTCGGATTAGCAGATTGAGAATCGGCATGAAATACTGGTCAAGAAAATATATTGGTTTGTGCTGTTGGATCAATTTTGATTCTGACCTGAACATAGAAATTTCCCTTAGATCACTATTCCGCTCTATTTTGCTTTGCAATGCAAAAACATTGGAATCAGCTTACAAATTGCTTCAAGAAGCTCCAAACTTTCTCATCAGATAAGGTCCAGGCTTTTGTTCTTCTGTTCCCAAGATTCTCATGTTCACCCTCATGAGGTTTAGATCGAAAAACGCGATAAGGTCACGAAGAAAACTTAGCTATGCAATTTTAGTCATTCAATCAATCATAGTCAATAGCATTGCTTTTTTTATTTACCTAAAAAGTTAGTTTACATTCTTTTTTTCAATAATGTCCGACATTAACCCAACTATTATAAACCAGCTATGGGAAGTTGTGGACATCATCCTTCGAAATGTTAATTGTGAAAGTGACCTTCGTCAATGTGAATTGTTTTTTACAAGGGTTTTAAATGTTGTCCAGGATTTGGAGGAAATCAATATTGATATAGATGACTCAACATCATCCTCATCCTCATCTTCCATGGATTATTCTTCATCTTGCTCATCGATTACGGCCTCAGAGTCAGGAAGTGACATTGATTTACCTTCCACTGATAATGAAGTAAGTTTAAATTGTCATTCGGTTTTGGGTTCTTCTCCTCCTCCACCTCCACCTCCACCTCCACCTCCATCTCCATCACCAACTTCGTCAGGCAATGATCTGAATAGATTGTTCACTTTGATGGAACGACTGGTCGTGTCAATTGATACACACAATGACATTGATGACCAGCTCTATCATGACATTGGCCAAGTCTTTGGACATATACTGGATCGTTTTGATAGCTTGGGTGATGCGAATCGTTCCATCATCAATCAAATTCGCACTCAATCCATGGCCATTAATAACTTAATTGTCCAACTTAATCTGCTTTGGAGAAACTCATTGAGAGAGGCTAGAAGAAATGATAGATCTGATGGGGAAGACGATTATTAAAAAACTTATGTTTTACTTACATTCATTCAACTTTATAACTTTGTATCACTTTCCCTTATCCACTAAGAATTCAACTTATTAACAAAGAATAAAATACAAGAATAATCTGCACCTTGCTTTAGTTTACCTTTTTATTCGGAAAGAAAAGAAGGAGAGACGAAGGAGAGAGAGAAGGGTAAGCTTGATTGGGTATTGATTCTGTTTTGATTCACCTTGATTGGGTAGAAAAAGAAAGAAAAAAGAAAGAAAAAAGAAAGAAAAAGGAAAGAGAAGAAAGAAGGCAAACTTAAACTACATTCAATTATAAAAACACTTATCTTTTACGCGATCTTATTAATATGCCATCTTATCTTTATTCTTAATCGCCAAATTTGAGTTGGTAGGCTAATTACCATTGTTTGTAAACATTGGTTTTAATTACCTAACATTGAATGTTTATATTGTTATTGAATGTTTGTTCACTTGGT